CACTCGTGAATTCAACAGACTGGAGCATTTAAACCGACATATCCAAACTCACACTGGAGAATAACCCCATAAATGTACTTGGAACGGATGTTCCAAAAGATTCTCCAGATCTGACGAATTGACGAGACATAAAAGAACTCATGATAGTTTAAAAAGAGAGATCACAGAAATAAAAAGATGATTGCAGTTCCTTTTAAAAATTTGTCAACTCTTTATATCCGTGATCAAGTTCAAAATGAAGGAAATAATTCATCATCCCCATCGTCTCGTACGATTACAACATATATTTTTACCGAATCTACAACTTCACATCCTAATTCTTCATGGCAAAAACCTTTTAATTGTTCAATTAATGGATGTACGAAGAGCTTCACTCGACATGGACATTTATCAAGACATGTACAGTCTTGTCAATCAAAACGTAATCGTAAAGAAAATGAGAAACCTGTTCACCCTCCAAGTCCTGTTACATCTTGTATTAACTAATATTTCAAAATATGAAATACTATTTATTGTATAACACAATGCATAATATAGAAAGTTACTATTTTATTTAATTATTTAATGTATCAGGTGCTACTTTCTAAATGAACCGCAATTTAATTTGTATAAAAGAAAATTGTATTATTTCGTACGCGGCCATTTCTTATCTCTTTTCTCCGTGTTCGGATGATATCTCTCATTTGTTTATTATTTTTATTCCTTATATATGTTGAAAAACTCACGGGTGTCATCCTGCTGGTATTGAATGTAATCCTAATAGCAATAACACAATTAGTTCGCGTATGTTAATTTCAAATTATTCCTATTATTATTGTTCACATTTTTTGGGTATAATAAAAAAATAAAAAAATAGATTCTTGCGCTTCTAGTGTTTATACGATTGTTGGTCCTTCGAATGATTTGCCTGTAGAAGTCCACAGAAACAGCGGTTGTAGATATTTAAAGAATCCTAAGTTTGTTCAGAAGGAGTAAAGGTCGAATAATATCTGTGCGAAGTAATTTTAAATAAATAATAAGTTTATTAACCGAATTTTTATATAGTAAAATACTGTATATCAGATTATCAGTATATAATAATAAGAAAAATCTGTATCAATAATGATGTAATTGATGCGTGATCAGGCAGTGATCAGGCTGTGGTGCGGCGCATGACTCCCATGACTCATGACTCCCATCATCCCATGACTCATTAAATTTATTTTTGATTAACGCGTTTCGCGTTTTATACTTGCTTATACTTTTTCTTTTTTTTATAAAAAGATCAGTAGCGTATTTCTCTATTAAAAAATTTTGAAATACTTAATAATAAAAAAAAATACAAACAGTATGTCGCGTCCTACTTCAGACAACTTACCCAACTAACGTTCCAAGCCTGTCCTTTTATGCTACGCAACTCTCCCCAGGCGTGGCACCAACAACCAAAGAGGGGAGGAATGACGAAACAGTGAAATTAAGAACAAGTGGAGGAAGTAAAGGGTGGCGAAATAAAGATCTCACCATCTTTTAGCTCTGAAAATCTTTTTATGGTTGGACTTTAAGAATCAATAATGATCAGTTTTAATTAAGGTACTATTTCTTTAAATTTCATGTTGTTTGAGAAGGAAAATCTAGACCACCATAGCGTGACAAGATGTGGGGACTATTATTCTATTCATTTACAGCGGGAATAATTATGCACCTTCCTCACGGGTCATGTGAGGTCCATTGTTCTGAAGGAGGAACAAATTATCGGCCTCTAGCACTGTGATATCTTGTCATGGATTTATTTCCCTTGGTTTCAGAGCTCTAGAAGCTCATCGTGGCCACAGTTACGCGGTCTTAGACTGCTTACTGTGAACGTCTATCTCTGTTTTCAACATATAAATTGTGTGTCAAGGTTTTGCTGCCCAACCATTCATGTTGTTTAGTTTAATAGTACTCACTTGTTTCTTTTTTTTTAGATTCATTAACATTGTTGGTTTGCAGATTAACCACCATTGATAATAATCGGAGAATTATCTATCTTTCTATCACAAGAATAGTGTTAAATGAGTAGCACTCCGCTCAGTGTTTATTTTTCATCAAAAAATCACTATGCATGTGGCGCACAACGTGTAAAATTTTTCTGTGCAGCATTTGGATAAACTGTGCGCAGCTACTCCGCTGTGACAAATTTGCGCTCAATCATATGTATGCGGCACTGGTATTAAAAGAAAAGAAATTTTTTATTTATCAGATTTTGTGACGCACAATTTGTAAAATTTTTCTGTGCGCCATATGAAAAAAACTGTGCAGCTGCTCCGCGGTGACACATTTGCGCCAAATCATAAAAAAATTACTGTGCGGCATTAAAATTTTTTTATTAAAATTCATTTTATTTGAAATTTATTTGAATTATGAATTTGGTAATATTTATAGAAATCAAATTAAATTTCATTACAAAAATCAATACAAAATCTTTTTCCTGTAAAATATGTTATAAACCATTAATTATAATAATTAATGTGGCACTTTTTTATCATAAGAAAAGGCAAAAAGAATCGACCAATTAAAAATTGAGTGAAATATATTAATTCATTTCTTATCTAATTCTATTCAAATTGATGGGTTTTGTGTTTTCTGATGTTATACTAAATCTTAAATAAAGACCCATTAAAATACCAATTAAAATGATAATTTCCAAAATAAAATGTCGAACCAATAATTCTATATTATCCTAATTAGCTAGTTTAATGTCATCGCGGACCACTTTAATCCCCTAAATAAACCCTATTTGATGATATTGACGATAGTTTAAGGTCAACTCTGACCGCAGTAGATAGAAATACTCTAAAATTTTATACACTTAAACTAAATACAATTCTGTGCTCACAATTAATAAATTCACTAGGTAAGTTCAGACACTACAGTGTATAATTTAAATCTTATAAATGGGAGAGAAAGAAATAAAATAGTTCGGAAAGTATTGGTTTTAATTAGTTTTCTAAATTCGGATATATTGGCCGCTATTGCCGGCTGAGGCAGCAAATATATCTTTTATTTTCGTTTAATTTATTTTATTTAAAAAAATTTCTTATTATTCACTTATTCATTTCACTAATTCATTTATTTATACTTAGTTTTATCCAATTTTTATTCTATTTGATTACACTTTCATTGGTTTCTCATTATTACAATTACATGAATTAATCGTTAACCAAATTTTAAAAGAATTAATCTGTATTACATGTCACCTCTATGTGGTAGTATGTTTTATTTTTAACTTTGTCTTTTCTCGGTCATTTTTCTCGGTTTGCTTTTTGTTTTTTTATTCCTTAATTAACTATTTTCTTAGATTTTAAAGTTCTAGTTCAACATTCTAGTAAGCGGTAAGTTTTATGTTTCAGTCATTTTGGTGTTCTTTGGATCTGGAAATTTAGCTAATCTTTTTTTTTTCGAGCTTTTACTTTTTTTGAATTTATTTCGTTTGAAATTAAAAATTTTTTTTTATTATACTCGGCTTTGTGTTATTTTTTTTTTATATGTGCTTTGCAATTACTTGCGCTTGTGCTTTTCATTTCAATTTTTTTTATTATACTTTGCTTTGTGCTATTATTTTTTTATATTGGGCTTGCAATTTCTTGTCTTGCCTTTATTGTACTTGGGTTTTTAATTTACTTTGGATTTTTAAATTTCATTTTAATTATTTTAATTGTACTTAGGATATTTATTATACTAGGTCTGGAATTTTTTTGATTTCATTTTTTATACTTGGACTTTATGACCTCATCTTTGATTTTGCTTTTATTTGCATTCAGTTTTTGATTTCATTTGTTGTACTTGGGATTTTTATATTTTGGCTGAAATTCTTAATTTTTTTATGTTTCGGTTTTTATGACTTGATTTTTGTTTTCGTTTTATTGTTTTTATTGTATACTTAAGAATTTTTTTATTTAATTTTTACTTGAACTTTTATGATATTGTATTTTATATTTGTTATATCATGTATTTCATCACTATTATTAATAAATTAAATAAATACTATACTATAAAAAGTTGGATTTAATAAATAAAATGTATTAATATTAAGTATTTTACTTTCTATAAATCCTTTGGCTTTAATCTTTTTTATGATTTTTATAACAATGTAATTTAAAAATTTGGTTTCAATAAAATTGAAAAAATTAGCCAATCAAAAAATTCCGTAAAATCACATGACCATGTCTAATTAAATAAATTTTCCCTTATCTGTTATAGTAAAAATGTAAAAATGTAATAAAATTTTTTATTTTTTTTATTTTATTTTTTATTTTTATATTTTTATTTTATTTTTTATGGATATTCATTTAAAGAATATTGACGTTTTAATCCTTCTCCTTCGACAATCTCTAAAGGTTTCAAATACCTTCTCTTCATAAATTTATAAACTTCAACAAATATTTCAAATATGATTACAGCTCCAACTATTAACCCCCATTCATATCCAATACCTAATTGCTTGAATACTTTGGAATTTAATCTAATAATAAAGAAGGAAAACAGAGGAAAAAGGAAAATTAAAAAAAAAATCTCATAGAAAAATAAATAAATAAATAATAAGACTTTTTTTTACTTACTCAGGAATATAGAAAGTTGGAATGGCTGTTAGTAAACCACCAAATACGGACCAAAATAGTATCTTATTATCATATAATTTCATTGTCCAAATAGGATCTCTTAATGACCGACAATTATATGCATGAATTAATAAAATATAAGTAATTGTGGCGAATGTAGTTCCTCTAGCACGATAGATTTGATGACACGCAATTTCTAATGCAATTGGATCACATGTAGGATCATTTGGAGCACATTCTTGTCCAAATGGTGAAGAATTACAATTTTGCCCAAGATTTCCATTTCCTATAGCATAAACTACAATAACGAAATTTGCTAATGACAATCCGCCTAAAACAATTCCATAATAAATCATATCAATTATCACTTCCCATGTGAAAAGTCCCCCTTTTGAACGTGGTGGGTACCTCATAATGTCACTAGATGCACGTTCAACGCCTAATCCCATAGCTGGCGGTGAACTTGTAATCATATTTAAGAAAAGAATTTGTAAAGGTGACATAGGATTAACTGATATACCATCGCTATCAATGAAAGAGAGTCCAATAATTAATGTAACAATTTCACCGGAATTTCCTTTATTAAAAAAAAAAGCAGTATTAATAAAGAATTCTTCAATGAAAATGAACAAATTAAAATTAAATACTGCAACTTACCGCTCAATAAATGTAAAATAAATTTTTGGATATTGCTAAAAATTCGACGTCCCTCAGCAATTGCATTAACAATTGTTGCAAAATTATCATCAGAAAGTACAATATCACTAGCTTGTTTAGCTACGTCACTACCACCTAATCCCATAGCAATTCCGACATCGGCTTTCTTCAAACTGGGTGAATCTATAATTTTTTATTAAAAAGTTAAATAACAAATTTATTTTTTTCTAAAAATAAATATTCATTATTTACCATTTACTCCATCACCGGTCATAGCAACGTATTTATTTCGTCGATGTAAAGCATCAATCATTTTTACTTTTGTATCCGGGATACATCTAGCAATAACTTTTGGAAGTTCTGAAAGATTGTCTACTTCTGCATCAGAAAGTGCATCAAACTGTGCGGCAGTCATTACAAGTTGTGAATTAAATTTCCCTTCATTTTCTAATTCAGGAGACCATAAAAGAGGAAGAATACCAATCTCTTTTGCAATGGCAGAAGCAGTAGTAGGATGGTCACCTAATAATAAACAAAGTGTTAATTTATATATTTATTCATTCATTCATTCATTTATTTTAATAAAAAAGACAAAATACCAGTTAACATATGAACTTCAATTCCGGCACCAAAACATCTTTGAATGGCAGCTTTGGATTCGGGTCGCGGTGGATCATAAATACCAACCAAACCCAAGAAGATCATATCAGTGTCAGCTTTTTCACGTGTCCATTTTGATATTTCAATATCTGATTTAATAACTCGACGGTATGCCAATGATAACACACGCTATGTAATAATAATATATTTTATTTTAGTTTCTTTGAATTAAAATTTCAGTTAAATACTGATATTTCTTTCTCTTTTGATAATTACCATCCCTTTGCTTGCAAGTTTTTCCAATTCGTTATATAATTCAGGTCCAAACTTTTCTCGATCAAGATTTACTTCGTTTTCACCAAATTGTATTTTTGTACATTGGTTTAAAACAGATTCTGTTGCGCCTTTAAGGAAAACATAATATGCGTCCGTAGATTTTTCTTTACATACAACAGACATACGTTTCAATTCAGTGTCAAACGCATATTCTTGAACTAATTCAAATTTGAATGGTTCTGCTGTGAGGACTGGTTTTGATAGTCCAGCTTTATGAGCGAAAACTTGAAGAGCTGACTAAAAACAAAAGAAAAAATATATATATGTCAAACTAATTCTGTGAAAAAATTATATTAATTTCTTTTTTCATATATTTACCTCGGTTGGATCTCCAATTGCATGCCATTCATCATCGCCTTTGCCTTTTTTAATGACGGCCATATTACAAAGTGCTGAAGCTTGAACTAAACGTGTAAAAGCATATCTCATGTTGTCCGAAGTAACTTCTTCATCCTCAACTTCAATTTCTGAAGTTTCATTTGTTCCATTTGTTCCACACCGATAAATTTTCCCTTCGGGACTAAACCCATTTCTACCTGAAATTCTATAAAGACCATCACCTGGAAGCCAAGCATCAGTTGCAATCATTTTACTCTGTGTTAGTGTTCCAGTTTTGTCAGAACAAATATTTGTAACTGATCCTAAAGCTTCTAAAGCATTTAATTTACGGACAATAGCATAATTTTTAGCCATTTGTCGTACACCAAAAGCCATAGTTAATGTAATCTATAATAAATTAATGAGTATTAATAAATTATTTTGATAATTCTTTTATTTGACTTCTTAATTAATTCAAAAGTTAAATTCTTACCACAGCAACAAGTCCTTCAGGAATGACAGAGATACCAAGTGAAATTGCATAGATGACAACTTCATTGTTTACTAACCATTTATTTACACCGAATACTATAATAGCTAAAATAATCGCTAATCCGAATAATGCATAAGCAAGAATTTCCAATCTATTAATCGATTAAATTAAAATTAACATTTTATCTTTTTAATTAATTAAATGTTAATATCATTATAAGAAATATTTATACTTTTTTTGTAAAGGAGTTCGCGTTACAACAGAAGTGGAAGCCAATGTTTTTGCAATTTTACCGATTTCAGTTTTCATGCCAATATTAACAGCAATACCTTTACCACGTCCTTTAGTTACAGTCGTACTTGAAAATACCATATCAATACGATCGCCCAAGGGTTTATCATGATCTTCAATTTCATTAACCCTAAAGAAAAAAAAAAAATTAATGATATTAATAAATAATGAACAAATTTTTAAAATAAAAATATACAAAAATACAAAATTAAATTATTTAAATTACGATTTAGCAACTGGAATGGATTCTCCAGTTAATAGTGCTTCATCCACTTCCAAATTAAATACTTCAAAAAGACGAGCATCGGCACCGATAACATCACCCTCTTCAAATAAAATAATATCACCCTAATTATAATTGATTGAAAATCATGTGATTCAGTACTACAAATGAAATAATATGGAAAATGATCAACTCATCGGGTGTCACTTGTACTTACAATTACAATGTCTCTAGTTGGAACGGAGATCAATGAATCGCCCCTAATTACTCTTGTAGTTGGAGAAGCCATTCTGCGCAAAGATTCCATAGTTTTCTCGGCCCTATATTCTTGAGTGAATCCAATTAGCGTGTTTGTTACAGCAACAAAAGCGATGACAGCTGATAAAAAAAAAAAATTGGTTAATTTAAGAAGTTACATATAGGTTTATATAATTAAACACGAACCTCCTTCTACATAATCCTTAAATACAAATGAAATGACCATTGCAATAACCAAGACCAACGTTAGAGCATTTACAATTTGTCTGTATAAAACAGCAAAAACGCTAACGTTGCCTTGACCTGATAATTCGTTAAAACCATATAATTCAAGCCTTTGCGCAGCTTCTTGCGGCGTAAGACCATCATCAATGTCAGTTTTTGTATGTATGGATACCTGATTAACAGGTAGTGTATGGTAAGGTGCAGGAGGAACTGGAAATGTAGGCAAATTCTTCTTTTTAAAAAAGCCCATTTTCTTTATTAACTTTTTTTTTATTGTCTAATTTTAAGCGAAAACTGTGGGTATTTTATAGTTTTCGACGAAATTGATATTACTTTAATGTTCGGATAATACCGGAAAAGATCGATGTTCGGAAATGATACTATTTTAGGTTGTGACGTAAAAATTCTTTTTTGATTTCCACAAACTAACCAAAATAAGCCGTCTTTAAAGTCGGGCACTGCACGGTCCCGTTACACTACCATTTCGGAGACAGGTATGACAAGGCGTATCGACCCTATTCGTTTCTTAGAATATTCCGGTATAATAACAAAACTCCAATACCTTTGTTAACGGATGTGATACAATTACTCATTCGGCAATCGGAACGGGTAAAAGAATAACCATTTTAAATAAACTTTCATGTTTCGTTCATTTTGGCGCAGAAGAATCCGAAGAAATTTCTATTTAGGCGTTAATTTCTCATTATTTGATAAATCGATAGGCAATTTTTTTTTCCGTGAGATAAAATTATCCTGATTATAACAAAGAAATAATAAATATTCATTACACAAAATTATATTATTCGATCATGGCGTTTTTTTTTCCGTTTAATTGGGCGGATCTATTTTACCTTTTTAACGTGTCAATTTTTGTGTAAAATTTCGCAAGCTAAATAAAATTTTCTATATATGGAAAGGGAAAGTCATCAATCATTACATTGTTTTATTGTTTTTTTGATTTTTTTTGATTAGGCACAAAATGTTTTCGGAAAAAGTCGTAAAAATTTAAGTAATCATAATTTTTTCATCTAATACCTTCTCTTATTTGTAATATAATTCTTATTTTAATAAAATTGATAATCATCAATTATTATTATGCACATGCGAAAAAAAAATCGAATGTTCTTTTCACTTTAAAATTTAATAAATTTAATAAATTTAATAAATTATTATTTTGTTAATAATGAGTCATGCAGAACAGTTTATTTTATTAATAGATTCTTTATCGGTTACAGTTTAATTTGGTTAAGCCGAACTGAGCTGCGGTTTATCAGTTCAAATGAGTGAACCAAACTGGGAACTGATTCAAAACATCATCGATTTTCATAATACTATACATATATAATGTACATACAGTATATATATTTAATATATGTTAAGTTGGAATTATACGATTTTTTTATACACATACGATTTTATAATTATATTATTATTTTTTTTTTAATAAAATTGTTTTCTATAAAAAAAACAATTTTTGTGTTATATTATTATTATTTTTTTTGTAATAAAATTGTTTTCTAAAAAAAGAAAAAATTTTGTGAAATTGGTCCAGTTATTATTAAAAATCATCAAAACCACTAACTACACCACAAAATATTTAAATATTATCAAAAATTGAACGCCAAATTAATTTTTCTGGGGTATTTCTATTGTCGTTCGCAGGTTTGTCATTTCTCGAAATATCCGATCAATTTGCGTCTACCCTTCGTGGTTTGTACTATTTAAACCATTTTTTTCGTCAGTAATTCGGAAGGTTTGGATTCTAGTCGCAAGTTTGCAAGCATTATCGAGTTCGGAATATCCAATTTGGCTGCCTGGAAACTTTACGCTTCACTGCAATTATCTAAATTAAATGGTAATGATTTTGTGAATCATTATTTATTTATTTATGTATTTTATTACAATTCACTTTAAATATCTTAAAATTGTTTAAATTTTATTTTCTTTAAATATTTAAATTAGCAAATTAAATATTATTTCAATTAGATAATTATGATAATTTATTAGAATAATGACTTTGCCGATTAATTTTTATCCAGATATTTATAAATCACCGTTTTGTTGATTTATTATATGGTACCATATGATTTATAGTTTGATTTCGTCTTTAGTGGTACCAATATTATAAAAATTTGGACTTTATCACTTTGAAAGACGAAACATTTTGACCCCGAATTTTTGGTATAACCCTTGGGCAGATTATCAGATTATTAATAATGTCCATTAAGAATTTATAATTTTTTAATTGGGTGAATAATGTATCGATCAAAATGATAGGTAGTTTGCTAGATAAATCTAATAGTTTACAAGAGGATTGTAAAGTGGATGATTTTTAATATATAATAAATGTCCATAGATTTTACACTTTAAGCTAAGATTTCAAAATCTTGTAAATAGTTTTTATGGTAATTTAGCAAAAAAACTAAATAGAATCAATACTTTTTTTAGAGTAAACTTGTGACGGGACCGTCAAAGGTCTGGAGCGAGCTTCATTTCGTGGTTTAGTATATTTCTAGATTTAGAGATGCGATCCGAAATCTTTCTATCTGAATAACTCGCTTAAATCCGATCCGAACCAGATAACGGATAATTTTCTGGAGGCATCATCCGTCCATAACGGATAAATCCGGATTAGTCCGTCAACTATTCCGTTATCCGTTATTATACGTTACTAACGTTAGTATATAATAGTAAGAGAACAATGCCGTTTAAAAAATCGCAATGGTAGAGTCACATGAAATTAATGGCAAAGCACTACCAATGTCCCTAGATATTAACTTTAGATATCCGAATATCCGTAATCGGATATAAAATAGTACAATTTAATACAATACGGATGTCGGATAAATTGAATGTTTTCAATCCGTGACGAATTATCTACAGGTATCCGAATCGCATCTCTCAATCTAGATAATGTTACATTTTAATTATAATTAAATAAACTTTATAAATCGAACTGAAAAGTTTATATTCATGATTCCTTGCAAATGAAATAAAGAATATAATGAATAAATTAATAAATAAAAGGAGTTTAATATTTATTTTTTTTAGTATGATATATTTTACTATATTTTATTATATTCAATAAATCCCGATTATATATATATAGGTCAGGGGATGTCGGCACACATTTACTATTAGTTCTACTCATTTCTTCAGGGCCGGCACTATGTAATGCTGGTCGGCATTATCCACAAATGGAAGGGATTTACGTGATTTTGGCTAGGACCTGACCTTTCTATGTATAGCTCGGGGTCCGGCTTAATTTAAAGTCTAATGGCGTTCAGATATTAAAGATAAAACAGTTAATAAATGAATATTTAAAATCATTATTCTAACTTCCGGTACCTTTATTAAAAGAAGTTCATGGTATAATTACCTTAAATTGTTGTATTCATGATACTGAAAATTGAGTTTTTTTTTGCTTATATAACCGAGATCACTAATCACGAGCGCGAACAGACGAATATTGCAAAAGTTCTCCGCTCCGTTTTGGCAATAAATGAATTTAATAATTACAGTAGTACATTTTTTTTGCTTTTTCCTAATAAATTCTAGGTTATATTATAAAGGATTTCCTAAAAACAAAATATAATCAATTTGTCTAATTATACAGTATGTACATTTTTACGTCCAAAGTTTATGTATTCTTCAGTGCAACGTTAATAAATATCACGTTGGGGTGGTAGATATACTAATTAGACCAAAATATATGTATAGTCTTATAATCCAGATTTTTTTTACTATGCTAGTTTTTAATTACTGAATTCGGAATAGTGTTAGGAAAATTATACAGGGTATCCGGATTTTTGGATACTAACATTTAAATTATTTATTGACGGTATTATACATTTTGAAATATAAACTTCATATTATTTATTTAAAAATTTGTGATGGCCATTTGCCCATTAAAAATCCGAAATCTTTAAAATTTAAGAAATCATGTTATATTAACTTTTAAGAAATACTAGAAATACAAACAGATACACAATACTATATGCTTATTGCAGTTCTTTTTAAGAAAATCAAACTATTTTATGAAAGAGATGGTGTTTTAGAATGTTTTTGCAGAATTCAGAGCGAAAAATGAGGAGAAGAATCCAAAGTTGTGAAAGTTTAAAAAATATCAAATTTAATTGAAAGTTTATTATAAAAAACTAATTTTAAGCTTAATATGTTGATCACGAAAATAATAAACTTTATACCACACCAATATCACGTGACGTGGAATTTTTAACTCCAGTGATCAGCATAAAATTTATCGTCACGTGCCTTTTTTATGGCATTTAACCGATTTAACCGTGTTAAGAGTGGCGTCAAATAATCGGTAATATGGTCACGCGAAATTGTTGTTACATTTCTGATGAACATAAAGTTGTCCAAATATGATAAAGTTGAGTTATTAAGTTTACGGGGTACGTACTGTACATTAGAGTTTGGAATCGATTAAGGTTAATCGATTAATTAATCGACTAAGACGGTTAATCGATTAAGGTATCTCAAAAATCGGTTAATCGATTAAAATTATCAACCCATAATTCTGGTCAAATTATCTAATGGGCCCAGAGCTGTGAATTTTGGTCACGTGTTCTTCGAACTTGGAAGAATTTGTATTAATTTTTTAATGATAATAATAATAAATAACACTTTCCTATAACTAAATGTATGATCAAAAACAATTTGGTGCAATCTGCGGTCAAAAAAAAAAAAATTTTTAATATTTTAATATTAATCGATTATTAATCGATTAGGGCCCTTGGTTAATCGATTATTAATCGGTTAAGGTTTTTTTGGTCGGTTCCAACCTCTACTGTACATAACGACAAATTCTATTTTAAAATATCATACTGGGGATTTTTTTTTACAACATATCTTGTTAACATATTATTACATATCGATTTGCATATTTCAGGGGTCAAATAGGTAGTGTTACATAAATCATGATACATATTCAAAAAGGAAATAAAATTGTCGATTGTGACAGGAACAAAACGGGGTTAAATCAAATTTTGCTAGTAAATAGTCCTTCGCTAACGCTTCGGACAAAAAATAAATAAATTTCATTACAGTATAAAATAAAAATTAAATAACAAAATAAAAATTTTCTTTAGAATTTAATATAAATAGTAAATAAAATAACAGTTAACCAGTAATAGCTTGTACCCATAGAACAGCCTAAAACAGCACCTTTTTCATCCAATAGTTGTAATAGCAGATTTTTCACATTTTATGAATATTGGAATTGATTCA